AACTGTGTTACCGGAAATGTAAGAGTGAAAAACTGGGTTTACAAGCATACAGCGATGCAGATTGGGCTGCTGATCTAACCGACAGACGTAGTATGTCAGGTTATTGTGTTAGCCTTAATGAGAGCGGGCCACTGGTTTCCTGGAAAACCAAAAAGCAGCCAACTGTCGCTTTATCAACTTGTGAAGCCGAGTATATGGCTTTAGCAGCTACTATGCAGGAGTGTATGTACTTAATACAACTACTAGAGGGCATTGACAAATGTGAATATACATTACCTACGATTTACGAAGACAACCAGGGCACAATAGCGTTGGCAAAGAATCCTGTTAACAGACAGAGATGCAAGCATATTGACATTAAGTATCATTTTCTGAGGTCAACTGTGGAAGGGGGAAAAACAAATCTGATTTATTGTCCAACAGACCAGAGGCCTGTACTACGAAGCCGGATTTTCCTAACCTGGATATGTTTGAGTTAGCCGGTTGGCCCAATCCAAAACATACGCGCTCTCGCTAAACTGTACTACGACGCTGGTTATCAAGTGGATCGCTCAAGCCAGCCGTGTCCTATCTAGTTAGGTGCGCGTTCACATGAAAGGGGTGGTATTTGGAGCATTCGACCAATCTCAAACATGGATAAGCGTACTGACAGCGCAGCGTCATACTTCCTGAATGAAAAGTGAACTTTAATATTAGTCAAATATGAAGAAGTTAAACTTTAAACATCCATGACTTAAACACTTTATCCACGATAAAAGCCACATAGCTGCACCTGCAAGGTGAATACAGCTGGTAAAAGAAAAAGTGTTTGAATGCGTACATTAACAGGTTTATGATATCACTGCCCCGTCCAAGACACGAGTGGATCTGACTTTAATTACATTTGACTCGAGTGTTTCGTCAACTTAATGTGTTGCTTAAAAGAATACTTCTGCATACAGTATGTGACACTGTGAGTGTTGCACGGCCAGATACGGCTCAGCTGACTCAGATAAGGAAATATATGATACATTATGATGTGATATGATATGAATGATAATGGGACACATCGACGTCTGCACTCACAGTGCCGCGGACTGTACTTAATGTTACTCTGATCCGGTTACTTATGTTGTGGCAGATATTTAAGTAAGCTTTCTTAACGCTAATGTTATAATAGTCAGATTGCTCTGAAGATGGGAGGGGATATTCTATTAATTTTCACGTTCACACAGTCAGTTGATTTTTGCCGGCCGTCTTTCCTGCAACGGCAGTTTTTCTGTATTTCCTCTATCCTGTAATATGACTTGATCGCTTTAAACTCCGCACACGGAGCTCTGATTGGTCAGCAGGCGGTGCTTTCGCTGAGTTGATCTCTTAGCCTGCAACCTAACCTCCTCCCGAGGAGGTTAGCCGCTCAGCATAAGTTACCATGGAGATCTAGCCCGCTAAAAAGAGAACCAGCGTCGTAGGACCGGAAAGCCAGAGTTTTCCCTGAAGTCAGCCGGCTAAGCGAAAATCCAGCTTCGTAGTACAGGCCTCAGATGGTGGCAGATGTTATGACAAAACCTGCACCAAAGTTTAAGTTGATTAAGTTTGCAAAGTTTATGTTTGGAGAGTAATAATGCCTGTAAGCTAGAATAATAATTTCTGTAAGGTAGAGAACCTTATAATGTTTTTATTTGTTAAAAGACCACAAATGTGATATCAAGTGGGGGTGTTAATATTCAGGTAAATGTGTTACCAATTTGTGTTTGTTATTTGTTGTGCATGACTGGAAGCCAATAGCGAACCAGAGGCCTGTACTACGAAGCTGGATTTTCGGTTAGCCGGCTAACTTCAGGGAAATCTCGGGCTTTCCGGTCCTACGACGCTGGTTCTCTTTTTAGCAGGCTAGATTTCCATGGTAACTTATGCTGAGCGGCAAACCTGCTCCGGAGCAGGTTAGGTGGCAGGCTAAGAGATCAACTCAGTGAAAGCACCGCCTGCTGACCAATCAGAGCTCCGTGTGCGGAGTTTAAAGCGATCAATTCATATTACAGGATAGAGGAAATACAGAAAAACTGCCGTTGCAGGAAAGACGGCCGGCCAAAATCAACTGACTGTGTGAACGTGAAAATTAATAGAATATCCCCTCCCATCTTCAGAGCAATCTGACTATTATAACATTAGCGTTAAGAAAGCTTACTTAAATATCTGCCACGACATAAGTAACCGGATCAGAGTAACATTAAGTACAGTCCGCGGCACTGTGAGTGCAGACGTCGATGTGTCCCATTATCATTCATATCATATCACATCATAATGTATCATATATTTCCTTATCTGAGTCAGCTTCTTGAGCCGTATCTGGCCGTGCAACACTCACAGTGTCACATACTGTATGCAGAAGTATTATTTTAAGCAACACATTAAGTTGACGAAACACTCGAGTCAAATTCTCCTAATTAAAGTCAGATCCACTCGTGTCTTGGACGGGGCATGATATCATAAACCTGTTAATGTACGCATTCAAACACTTTTTCTTTTACCAGCTGTATTCACCTTGCAGGTGCAGCTATGTGGCTTTTATCCTGGATAAAGTGTTTAAGTCATGGATGTTTAAAGTTCAACTTCTTCATATTTGACTAATATTAAAGTTCACTTTTCATTCAGGAAGTATGACGCTGCGCTGTCAGTACGCTTGTCCATGTTTGAGATTGGTCGAATGCTCCAAATACCACCCCTTTCATGTGAACGCGCACCTAACTAGATAGGACACGGCTGGCTTGAGCGATCCACTTGATAATCAGCGTCGTAGTACAGCTTAGCCAGAGCGCGTATGTTTTGGATTGGGCCAACCGGCTAACTCAAACATATCCAGGTTAGGTTGAACCAGCTTCGTAGTGCAGGCCTCAGGTTAAAGTTCAATGATGGGTATAAATAAAGCCACGCCTCCAATGGGAGTGTTCCGTTGAATGAAATGCCACTGTCTCTGATACTTCGTTATTCCTCCGCTTATTTGGATGCTAAACAGCAATGAAGTTATGCTTACTCTGCTAACAGAGGACCTTTCAATTCTACTTTATACTTCTATTCCACTACATTTCAGTGGTGAATATGGTACTTTTTACTCCACTACATTTATTTGTTTACTCACAGTTACTTTGTACACATAATAACACATATTTGCTGATATGCTATAATGCTGTACTGTTCTACTAATCTACATAGTATCTACATTTCCTCCACATTGACAAACTACCATACTGAAATGCTCTTACATGTATACAAACTGGATAAAATAATAAGCATAATAATAAAGAAATACCGTGAAAAGATCCATTCCGCATAAAGAGTGCTTTTACTTTAAATCCTTGAAGTACATTGAGCTGATAATACTTCTGTATTATTGTGTACTTTGAGTTTTGCACTTTTACTTAAAGGGGACCTATCATGCAAAATGCACTTTTGTACGTCTTTTATACATGAATATGTGTCCCCGGTGTTCCAGGGAACTCACCAAGTGTCAGAAAACACAACCCTCTCTATTTTCCTCCTTACCCAAATCTCTAAAAAAGGGGCTGCAACGGATCTGATAAAAACTGATCCAGATTTGAACACTGTCCTGACGTCAGGACGGTGGCGCTACGGCTATTGGGCCAACTCCACCAATCAGGAGGAGAAAGCCACGGCCATTGCCGTTCGAAAGCGCTGGAGACGCTGTAGTACATATGCCAGGCCAGTAGATGGTGCTGTTCTCACAGAATCAACCCTTGGTAAAACAGAGCTAGAAATGGTCAAATTTAGCAAAATGAGGCATGTCTAAAATGCATGATCTGTTTGGTATTTTGAAAAAAAAAAAGTATAAATATGTCTTATATAGGTATGGTCCTACACTATATTATTCAAATATAGCATGATAGGTCCACTTTAAGTAGAATTTGAAAATCATGACTTTTACTTGTAGTGGAGTACTTCTTCCAACACTGCATATTTTTTACTTTTCCTCCCCATTTTCAACGTGCCGAGACACTGCACCCTGGGACAAATTATCTGCTGATTTACAGACGTCTCTTTCTCATTGTAAGTCAATTTAATACTTGGTAATACTCAAAAAGAGTAAAAATGTTTTAACGAAATGAGTTACTAGTTATTAACATATTCAAATGATAAGCTAGTACATCATGAACATAAAATAAAACATAAACTACGATGTAAAGTTATAGGTTAAGATATCAAGCAACAGTAGCCTATATAAAGTACTCAAATTAGCTCCAAATGTGATGAACACATTAATGCATGATTGATTATAATTCATGTCCATGACATGACAGGATAAAAGCAATGTAGAGGAGCAGCTACATTTCAACACATATATCCACGAAGATTAATACATGAAGACTTGTGCCTCGGACTTGACTTGGACTCTCCCTTGGTGACTTGGACTTGGACTCGGACTCGAAGAGTGTTGACTCGAGAGTGACTTGGACTCGTGAATTGGTGATTTGACTACAACACTGGCAGAAACACCATTAAAAAAAATAACATAAAATGTACTAACATTTTATAATTTGTATTTATGTATCAATGCATATTTATTCAATTTGTTTTGCCCAAGCCGTTTAGTCCTTCCTATAAAAAAGAAAAGCACACCACGCGATTAAATGTTTTACTGTGATTCACATTAACTAAAAATAAGGTAGAAAACCCACAATCCCATGTATCTTAATTGTAATTTACAGCTTGGATAATTTCTCTGGGATGCTTCATTCAAAGTTAAAATAATTTAACATTTTTAATGTAGCATCATAAAAACGATGTGGATCTGTTCGTTAAAACATAAATCCATGTCTTACTTCAAATGAAGTATTCACCAGTTCAATACATATCCTATGAGCTCATAGTCATGTGACATTTTCCAACTTCGCAATTTTGAAAGGTTAGCCCAAAACGTGTAAATGGATGTGATGTCGTGCCAATATTAAAAGTATTTTGTATTACTATAACTTTAAAAAAAATGTGTTTTATAAATGAAATGTATCATATTATTACTGAGGATTCATGTGTTTAACCCACTGATTGAATTAGAATAGTCTGACGAATCATTGAATCATTGTGTTCCTAATTTGTATAAATGAACAGAAATCGATCAACCCTTTATGGGGCATACGTGGGTCAACAGAACGTCCACCATATTCTTAATAATGGGAGTTAGCGGGTGGATGTTGTGACCCAAGTCATTGGCAAGAACCATCTCCCAGGCATCGACCCAGTGAACATTCACTCCTTTGAACAGGGATCCGAGCACACGATCAATCTGCATGGAGTACCAGTCGCTGTATGATTGCGATATATAAAGGTTCTGTTCTCTGAGGGCTCCGCTCCGCATGATGACCACGGTGTTCGGGGCGCGGTCCAGCAGCTGCTGCACCGCACTGCGGATGCTCAGCATCCTCCGGATGTAAATCTCTATTGGTAATGGGCCGAAGTGTGCCCAGACGCCAATAACCACAACAGTGTCTGCGCCTCCAACCAAGCCATCGAGTTCGTTGGCGATGTAGCGCAGCTGTCTGACCAGCACCGTGCGGGTATCGAGAGGGGGGGTGTGGCAGCGCCACGTCATCAGAATGTTGTCCGCATGGTCCACGGCCATCATGGGGCCAGCATTCACATCCACGTGAAGGTTGAACTGACCTAAAAGTACACAGACAGAAAAGATATGTGAATAATTCAAGACACATCTTTTTAGATTAGCTTTTTATTAGCAACTCCCCACTTTAAATGTTCTTTTAGTTTTTATTATTTACCCACCTTTATATTGTTTTATTTATTTTATAATTTATTTTTATTTTTATTTCTGTTGTTCACTTTGTTTTATGAGGTTTTATATTTTATATTGTTGCATCGACTCAGTTGTCTTGTGTATTATCTGTCAGAGAGAAACCATTATTTATTTTTATTATCATACATTTTACCTCCTTGTGTCTCTTAACCTGATCAAATGTTATATTTTGCTGCATGTACAGGTCTGTAAAGTTCTTAACAAATAATCTGATGTGTCATTTTGTAAAGCACTTTGAGCTGCATGTGAAAAGTGCTATATAAATAAAGCTTTTATTATTAAATGTAGCCGCAACTTTTGCCAGGACTTCATGTGGATCACTAACTACCTGATATCTTTTGGCTTAAGAATTGAAACCACTGCCTGATGGTGGAATCTCCGTAAAGGTGGAGTTTCTTGGCCTTCAGACACTCTCTGGTGGCAGGGTTGTCAAACTGGCGAACTATGGGGCTGCCTACTGCCCTCCACACACCCTTGTAGTAATGGCCGCTGGGTCCGGGTGTCCCGATGAGGCTCTTCGCCTCTGGTTGATCTGAGAGGAAGTTAAAGGAAAACGGTTTCATTAGAGGAACATATTCTGCTAATTTTTAGGTTCATATCAGTATGTACACTGTAAAATGTTTGGCTGTAAAATTACAGTAAATTACTGGCTACTAGTTGCATGGATTTCACAGTAATTTACTGTAAATATTTCACAGTAATTGATTGTAAATATTTCACAGTAATTTACTGTAGATATTTTACAGTAAATTAGAATAAAAGTACAACTAAATACTGTGACTTTACAGTTGCCATGCCCATGGAATTACTGTGATATAGCAGTACAGAGCTGTGGTATTATGGTACCTTGCTGTACCTAAATTACAGTAATTAGTTATTATCTTCACACTTTTACTGTAGAAGTAATGCAACACAGTAGCCAGTAATTTACTGTAAATATAAAAATGTAAATAATATGATAATATATTGTAAACTTGACTAGTTAACTGGGATTTTACCATAACTACACAATTCAATCAGCTCAATCAACAAAGAAAAACAAAGCAAATGCCCATTTTAACTTTGTATTATTCCATTGAAGTGCAAAGTACATTTCACAGTGTCTTGGACATGTTGTTACGGCCCCAACCTCTACTCCGCGGTAGTGGCTCGTGCTGAGACCCGCAACATGAAAGAATACATGCAATAACCGGTACTTGGTAACAAGCATTTATTGATAATCAGCCATTTGCTCACACAAGCGAAACGGAAGCGGAACCCGAGCCAGACACACCACGGACCGTAGGACCCAGAGCTCCCCCCCTAACCAGAATTCAAATATAAACCCTATGGGAAACAAAATAAAGCAGCGAAAACTGGACTACCAGGTCCTCCAGGCTAAACATAAACACATCTGCAAAAATATGGCCTACAGCTCAAAATGGCAAAGAGGTATTCTAAGGAGAGTGTCTCCCGGCGTTAGGATAGGCGAGACATCCTTCTCCTCCAGCTTCTCTTTATATATACACGGCTGAGTGGAATTTGGAACACCTGGGCAGAGGCGGAGCCAGGGGCAGACCAGGTGCACCTGGGCAGAGGCGGAGCCAGGGGCAGAAAACAAGGAGGGGAGCACGTAACACATGTCTACACAGACATCCACTCAAAGTCAACCATTTTTCTGAAGAATGTGCTGACATGGGGGTTTAAATTGCCATGCCTCTTTTTGGCTTTCAAGCCCGTCTCAGGATTAATGCCCAGGAAGCACCTGAAAACAATAAGCCAAGACAACAATTTCAATTTACATAGATTTATATGTTGCCTCGTTTATTTTAAGGCACATGCCCCTTTCAATTTAAGTAAAACCTGCAACAAAGAAAGAAATTAGTATGTAAAGCCAAGCAAGAGCGATAAAAGCAAGAAAATCACTTAATGTGTTGTGTTATCACAGAGGATGGTCTGAATACAGTATTTTACTATGAAATAATACAGTAACATGTTGTGAAATCCTGGTAATAATTTATCCTGTACATTTACAGTAATTAACTGTGCCTGCATTGATTTAACTGTGAAATTCGAAATTACAGTATTATATTGTGAACATTACAGGTAAAGACTGTAAAGTGGTAAAACAGTAATTTATTGTAAAATATTACAGCTAAATATTGTGAAATCATGGTAATATTTTACAGTGTAGTGCCTCTAGTCTAATGTGACATGTCTCCATGCTTTAATGTTCAAAAAGCTCTTTATTTTTCTCATATTGCCTGTGCTGCAGCACCTCTTTTCACCCTCTGTCTGAAACCAGACCATTTTAGTGTAGTTCGTAGAAGTGTAGTTCGAACCTATGAACCTAAATGCAATTTGAGCTATTAAAAACATTATTAATGGAGCCAAACCTAGTTTTTATTTTATTTCTGAATATTTGTTGGTATTCGTTTTAGTAACTTTGTTGCATTTTATAAAATTCATTCATTGAAAAAAAAACATTTCTAGTAACTTTGGCCCGGTTAACAGCACAGACTTTGCTGCAACAAGATCACAGATTGCATTTTCATAGATTCTTCTTTTGGAGCGGGGTGCGATCTCAGTGCGACCTATTGCAGAGGTGAAAATCAAACTTTACCTTCTTTTTTTGGAACCACGCTGACAAAGGCAGGTCCTGAAGCCTTAATGTAGACTTTCATGTTGACAGACCTGAAGGAAAGCACACATAATAAAATACTTATTACAAACAGAACAACACTATCAAAACAAGCACATACATTTAAAATGATTTAATTAATTTAAAACTAGAAAAATAATTAGAAACTGCTATATCACACAACTCTTAAATACAAATGTGTGACTAACATTAAAGCTGCACTGTTTAATACTTCTATACACCCATGTGACAATTACCGGAAACAACCCATTACAAGTGTGTGGTGTTAACAAATAATGAAGATAATATATAAATAACGACATCTTGTATTTGAGTTACACCCGCTAGACAACAGTGGATATTAGAAGAGTACATTCTGTATTTTCCCAACACATTCCTTTCGTTATTATTGCCAATGGAAATAGTATGGTTAGTTGTGGCGCGTTTGCACTAGTCTAGAAGTGTCTGCAATTATGTAAAGCACTTTGAGCCGCATAGTCAGATTATTGATCAAAGGCATGGCCTGTTCAATGGTTTTTCTCCTGTTCTGAGCACAGAGAAAGCCAAACTGTCACATGGAGGAGAAAAAAAGTCAGATAGGAGTACGGCATTCCTTCCTCCTGTACGGTATGATCTCGTTCATTACTGAAGTACAAAACAGGTATAACACAAAAGCATGAGAGAGAGAAAACCACTTTCATCTGCCATCCCATCACCACACCTATGATGGTTGCAACCCGGTATCACGGCGAGACGTGAATATGTCACGGTTTCGTCCCTTCAAACGTGACAGTTACACGGTATTGTTAACATGGCCCAACCAGTGGAGAAATACCCGGAAGTGCCAAGCAAATGGTCTACCGCGCCTATTGGTCGGTTTTTATTGTCAAAATTAGATGTTTTTAATTGATTTTTTAATCATCACACTCGATTTCGCCGATTTTCTTGTTGCCCTAGCTGGTCGACACCTCTTTTAGCAGAAACAAAGGCTACATTAATGTATTAAATCGATGTTAATCCATGTGTGTGGAGGTGGAATTAACGGACGTGACGTTGTGCGATTGCGTTGCCAGGCAACGCAATTTACAAACTTCAACTACAACCCTAATTATATTTAAAACATTTTAGAAGGCCTCACGAAATACTTTAATGTAAATTAAAATGTAAATGTGAAGGGATGTGTGTAATGTGGTGATTGACATTATTCACCCACGGATCTATGGGTTGGGGGTATTGTTCCACACGGACATTTGGGGGTTGGCTAGTGACGCTAACGAAGAGTCACTTCTTCAGGACAGCTGCCTCTTTGTTGGACTCTGTTGGGGGGGTGCTTGCGGAGCACGCTAAAGTACTGTGAACTTGCCAGAGCCTTTCAGCGGGGCTACTGCGGAGCACATAAAGCAGACTGTTCACGCTAACGAAGGATCACTTATTTTTCAGGGCAGCGAAGGCTACGCAGTACGCAGGTTACTGTCCCGCGCCACAGCGCGTGCCGGATGAGAATGTTTTGGCCCGCGGGCCGCCAGTTGATGGTCACTGGTCTAAACCTTTAATTAACCTGTGCAGGCTTACTCTCTTATGCAATCCCATACCTATGATATTTACAGACAGTGAGCCGTGGAAATATCACAGTGTGCAGACATGCACGTCTCATTGTGCGCACAGTGGATTTCACTATTTGATGTAAGACCCTATGTATTACATGTGCCAGGGACCATGTTCAGCCGGCTAATGGTAAAATGTTATCAAGATTAATGTATGGCTTAAAACAAGTACAACTTAAATGTACCTACAATTTCAATTGAACAGACATTTATTCTAATTTAAAAAGAGGTCAAAAATAAAATCTCATTGTAAATAAAATATTCTATTGATGATGAAAAATTACAAACTAATGCTTTTTACGACCAGAGAGGTAAAACAATTAAGTGAAAATTAGTAATCCTTTTCACATAGACTTCTATACAATTAGACATATTTGTGCCACAAATGGAGCCTCCCTCTGCTACATATTAAGGGAATGAAAGTCTAAGGCAACATAGACATAATTTTGACACCTTTTCTCCTTGTCCCCTTACTTTCGAAAGAGCAGATCCTCCTTGGGGTTGAGAAAGCGGATTTTTTTAAAGTTCACACTCAATTGACGGAACCTGGTTTCACAGCTCAGTTTCTTTGGCTTGAAGCAGAACCAAGGCTCGTCTGTACGAAGGTCGGTGAAGTTGCACAGCAGCAGGGGGGTGGGCTGCAGGCAGACCCCACACATGGTGGTTTCAGAAACTTTGCCTGAACGGAAGATGCTCTTCCAGGCCATCCTGTAAGGATGCTCCCTGGTCAGCCTCTGCAGCACAGCGATGGCCTCAGCAGAATGAACCATCGTCACCTGAGTGGGCAGAGAACCAGTCAATACTGTGGTTATAGTTACCTATAGATGTTCTCCAAATTTAAAAACAAACATCCTGACACACACACACACACACACACACACACACACACACACACACACACACACACACACACACACACACACACACACACACACAACACACACACACACACACACACACACACACACACACCACACACACACACAACACACACATCACACACACACACACACACACACACACACACACACACACACACACACACACACACACACACACACACACACACACACACACACCACACACACACACACCACACACACACACACACACACACACCCACACACATCCACACACACACACACACACACACACACACACTTTTTATTTATGTACTAATATATATATATACCCTCAGGGGTAAACCGCGGGGCGGCCAGGAGGAACCGGCCAGCATCTTCGGTCAAAGCGCGGGGCTCAACACTAGCCGAGTTAGCTAGTGCAGCCTGGACATGCAGCCGCATGCCCCGAAGAACCAGCTCCACGAGGCAGAAGTCGGGTCCCTCCATACCTAGCAGGTCGTGCATCGTCTCCTCGTAGCAGGAAGGCCTGCTGCCCTCCAGCGCCGAGACGAAGCGGGAATGGTGAGCGACGTCCTCAGCCATTCCGTGGGGCGCACCGAGCCTCAGTCTGTGCGCACGTGGCAGCCACGGAGGTCTCCAAAAATCTCCGGCATTTCGAGAAAACAAGAGTTTTTTGCCGTGTTCGGTTCAGTCTCGGAACCTTCGCGAGACTTATGTCAGGGTCACCAATGTAGTGCCGAGAGAAGGGAGTCGGAGGCGGTGCATCGAAGGTGCAAATCTCACTTTATTGAGCAGCAGAAATTGACATGCTGTCGGGTCGCAGCTCGAGAAGAGAAGAGAAAGTGAAAGGGAGGACACTATGGGTCCTTCTCAGGTCGATTAAATGGAATCCTTGCGTCCCTCACTTGCGTCGTTTCCCTGCGTTTAGTCCCTCCCACCAGGGAAGCATGGAGAGACGCAAGGAAACCACGAGAAGCAGGGAAATGAGTTTTAAGAGCAATGGGACGTCCTTTCCTCCGGAGCGTCACGTGAAGCGACGTCCGTTTGTGATGACGCCGCACAGCTGTTCGTCTGACAGCAGCTCTGTCCCCGTTATTTTCACAAACACCCCCGCCTCTACACATTTACTGACACAAACATTTGTATCATCTGTTGTAGACCCAAATACATCAAATCAAATAAGAACTCATTCTCAAAAAAGATAAACGCCATTCTTAAAATGTATAAACGAACAATAGTTGGATTAATATTGATTAGAGTGCACAATAGAAATAAAAATAATTCAGAGAAGAAAAAGAGATATGTTATCTATCAAAACCCAGTTAGATTAACATTCATTAATCATTGGATTGCACACTTTGTTTGTGTGGATATGTAGCAAATTAACATGTTAAATAGCACTTAATGACTGACTGAATGGAAATGACAATAAATGAAAATGTAAAACGAAAAAGCGATCATGAAAATGTTTCCAATAAATGAATAAAATAATTTTTGACCACTTTGTTGTTCAGATATATCACATATTTGTAACTGAATGATGCATTCATTGAAACAAAACACAGTATAAACTGAGGAGTGAGTCCCGTGAGTTTCATGTGTTTTCTTCACTCCGCTGGGAAACTGCTCTCATGTCAAGAAGCATCAGATCAGTGCATGCGCTGCATCGTCCAATCAGTGAGCGATACACAGTAAGGGGGCGGGGAGAGTATCTGAGGATTTCACCGGAGGATGGTCTGGTGGTTCCTCGGTTATCGCTCCTCCATTATCGCTCCTCGCTCCTCGCTCCTCGATCCTCGGTCCTCCGGCAGAAATAAGAGCCATGGGACGCTACTCAAGATGGCGCAGACAAATCAACTTCCGGTGATACCGAGGACCGAGGACCGAGGAAATGAAAATAGTCGACCTGAGAAGGACCCACAGTAGGTACACAGTAGGTACCGTCAACATATGCGTCCGTGCGGAAACAATACCCCCAACCTGTAGTTCCATGATTGGATTATGTAACCCAGTGTATTAATCAGTGATCACTACACATATCATATTATACACAACTACGGTGTAGTTATGCAATGAATGAAACACTTGGGTCGCAGGTTCCTCAACAGTGCATTACAAGACATCTATCAATATGTGTGTACCTCCACCATTACATTGTCATATTCTACACATTTCTTATACTATCTACATACATCTTATAAGAGTATAATGTATGTGTGTTAGTGGCGTTTTTATATGTACAAAAGTGGTGGGGCACAAAAAACTTAGATGTCTATATATAAGCTTCTGCAGTGACGTGCAGTGAGGTTCATGGCTGGTGAGGCACTGGCACTGACTCTTCAGGTTTACAAATATTATATTTTGACCTAAACCAAAATATAATATTATTTTCAAAAGCTTTTTTTGTCTGATGCTTCGATTAATTTTAAACAGACAGTTCAACAAAAGGATACCCAAAAAATGTAATGTAATGTATCTTCTTGTAGTTTCAAAAGTCTATCATAAATCTAATCGATAGATTTATGATAAAAAAATCATAAAAGTAGGGTAGACATGTGGATGTTATCCGGCTGAACAAAACGTGCATTTATCTAACAGGTACGTTTCCCACAGATCTTATTTCGAGCTATTTTCTAAAATCCTATGGAGAAACCTCATTGCTTTTTTGCAGCTTACTTCCTGGTTTTAGGACGCGTCACTGCAGCTCTCTCGTCTCCTCTTCACACAGCACACTTTTCGCGGCACACGTACTTACAGCCAATCAGCTCTGAATGATGTGAGATGACGTATGGTGGGGATGGCAACTCTGTGCCCCTCTGCTCTTTTTTATTTTGCCACACACATTACATTGAAAAATACTCGGAGCATGCGCAGTGTAGTTTTTACAGTCACCGTTCACTTTGACAGTGAGAGGGAGGGGCATGTTCAGGTTTTGTCCCATATGGCTCAAAACGGCACTGTAGATACTAATTAGAAGAACACAGACTAAAACAGCAATGTACAGACGAATCAGATGATTAAACAAGACCTTAAAATATATTTTATATATTTTTTTATTTCTTTTTTTGCATCTCTTTGCATTTTTTGTAATCATTATGTGTAATACTTTCTGCTGACACTAGGTGGGGCTGTGCCTCACCTGCCCCTAATGACCAGTCGCCACTGTGTATAATATCAGTTAAAATAAGTGCTTAAACATAGTTAACATGGCAGGAAAGCAATATATTAGACGTTAAGTACTTTGTCAGGCTTAATATTTATCTGTTGATACAAATTTCACTGTGTGTGCTGTGTGCTCTGCATGTGTGACCATCAAAGAGGGTTTCATCCCTCCATATTCATCTTCTATACCCCCAAAGCTTTTTTCTTATTCAAAATAAGACCTTAACCTAAAGTATTCTTTAATGTTTAAATAAAGCCTTATTAGTTTGTCTGTTTTGCACATCCTCCTATTAATATCTAATAATACAATTATAAAATGCAATAACGTGCTTTAACCAGTAGGTGTCCCTTTCTATCAGCTGTGCACCGTTATGGCGTAAACAGGGCTGGACTGGCCATCTGGCATACCGGGCATTTTCCCGGTGGGCCGACGTGCCTTTTGGGCCGACACGTAATTTTTTTTTTTTTTCTGAAGTCACGGCCCATAAGACGGGTAGATTGGCCCTCTGTTTAAATGTTTTTAGTAATTGACACTGGGCCGGCCCAATCAAATCTTTAATCACCTCCCCCTTTGGGCCGCTCGGTGTGGGTGTGCATCATTAAATCACGCCCCCAGGAGGTGAGCCGGCCGTTGAAGCCAAACTGCCTTTTTTTTCGAGAAAAAAAAAAGTTCGAGTTAGAAATGGAGAAGGCGAAGGCGAAGACGAAGGCCAAGCGAAAAGGGGGAGCAGAAAAATTGCGGGCAAGAAAAAAGCAGGCCCTTCGTGCTGATGCTGCCGCTTGTGTCAAAATAACCGACATGTTTAGTACCCGTGGCCGATATTGGTGGTGAGGAAGAAGATGAGAGGGAGAGAGATCAGCGCGAGTGAGGAGAGGGAGGAGAACTCGCGGTAAGCAGAAGCTAAGAAAATTAGGAAAAGATTATTATTAAGGTTATGATACTCTGTAGTTCTGGAACCCATTAATATCCCCTTGATGAAGCACTAATAAGACAAATATTATAAGAGAAACATTCGTTAGCCTACAAGCTAGTAAGCTGGCTTTTTTAGGTTTTCCCTGGCAAGTTAAAATATAGCTTAATGGGACTCTGATACGTTGTCTCATTGAAAGAATGTAATTATTTTGTTAACCACCATTCATGAACAATTACTGTCAGCTGGCAGCTTGTTTTGTTTAGTTTATTTACTTATGTGTTTATAAGGGCAACAGTGGTCTTTTGGGACCTGAACAAAATGTTTATAGTCAGCTTTTTGTGGTAGTTTTGATTGACAATATATAGAATGAATAATATAGAAATAGATAAAAAAAATTGAGGCACACATGTAGTTTTGACCATTAACTGTGTGGTATTGTTATGTCAATGCCTATTTGTATGGACCTCTATCAGGGACCAAAGAGGTCACCTGCATCCTTTTTGACTCTCCCAAAGCCCCCCAACTACACTCACACATGCAAACAGACACACAGACACACAGACACACAGACAGACAGACAGACAGACAGACAGACAGACAGACAGACAGACAGACACACACACACACACACACACACACACACTAACTCCTACCCCGAGGAATGGACGCTGGACAAAGTGCCCCTCTCCACAACAAGCATTCATTTCAGTTATTTCAGTCTAGTATATAAGTTACTTTGTGTGTACAGTATATATATACAGTATATATATCTTGCTAGTTGTGTACTTTTGTAATTTATGTGGGATTTCGGTCAAATGTTGCTTCAACTCTCTTTGT